CTGTCAGCATTTCCGTTACAATTCCGTCTAGCCCTGCTGCCTTGTTTCTGTTCAATTTCATCAGTGCATCAGTGCATCTTCGTTTTTTTTTTTTTTTTTTTTTTTTTGTTTTTAGAATTTCAGGCCCATCGGTAGTATTCTTTTGTCCTTTTGTCATGGAAGAGTTCTTTAATATATTCCTTCCAGTGATGAAGAATGTTCCGTCTTTAATATAAGCGTTCCATCCTTTGATTTTATGCAGCGTGTTGACGAGCATGTCTTCTGTCCTGTTAGTTCCTTTATTTTTTTATGCATATCACCATTGTTGGTGGTACTCAATCTCTCTATTTCTGCACATTTTTTTGTTTTAGCCACTCTTTTTTGGTCTGCCTGCATTTGATCTTTATTCCGTTATGTGCTTTTCTGTATTCCGTCCCGTATCTTGGCAGAGTTTTCTGTCGCCCTTGCATCATGTCGAGAATCTCATCAGTCATCCATTCGTTTTTTTTATCTTCTTCGTCCATTATCTTTTGGGAAGTTATCGTTTGCTGATGTCAATAAAGCTTCTCTTACTGCGTCCCATTTCGAGTTTCCAATTTTTATTTTGTTCCTCGTATCCTCTTTTCACACTTTCTTTCCGGCACAGCTCGCTAATGGTTTAAAAATTCCCTTTCTCTGTAGCGTGTCGGTCGGGTTTCGATCCCGGCTTGTAGATTTCAACATTTGCAACATTTTCAGTGTTTTATGTCTGCGCATAATTAGAACCATCGTTTGAGTTCTTATATACTGTCTGCACTTTCTACGCGCGGTATATGTACTGCTACCATTAAATTGCATTAGTCCGATGTATTCCGTAAGAAAGAAACGCATCACACAGATTTGTATCTTAATTTAGCTAATTTTGCATATATATATATATATATATATATATATATAAAAGAAAAAACAGACCAATTTAAGGCTCCATTGTAATAGTTTATTTCACCAGAGACCTTTTAAAGTACCCTGTGCCATGTTTGATGGATATCAGTTATCTCCTGTTAATTTTCCCTCTGAAAGTTCTCCACTGGCTTAACCGGATATTGATAACTGACATCCATCAAAAATGGCAAGTGGAACTAGAACAGTCTACCCCAGTGAGCGAAATAAAGGGTTCAGTTCGACATTCCAACCACCTGAAGAAGGCCGGAGCGTACAACGGCCGAAACGTTGTGATAAATATTGCGACAAAGATGAGGACAATAGTCCGAATAATGTAAATAATGTACATAATACCTCATCTCAGAAATATAGACAAATTTTAATTAAGTTTTAAATCTGTATTAATTTAACCCTTTTATATGATATCATATCAAAACTATATTTACTAATCCTAAACTGAAAAGCTTAATACAATTCATCAAACACCAATATTTTAGAAAGAATCTTGACGGTTTTTTTTTTTTTTGTTTGTTTGTTTTTTTTATGTGTATAAACGATTTTTGTAGATAATGGTTATCTTTATAAATAGTAAATTTAAACCAAGTTATCTAAAATTCAATAAATCCTTAGATTACGGGGAATATTTTCTTAAATCTTTTCAATTCCTGAATACTTAAAAATTATATGTAAAAGGCGCTCACGTTATATTCTTCAATTATTTTTTACAGATAAAGATTCGTAGAAAAATATAAGATAAACATCAATTTGTCATTAAACTGTCAACATATCAATAAATTAATAAACAGCTATCTCTGTATTAAAAAATGAATTTTTGTGATATTTCAAACTTAAAATAAACAATATTTGTTTAAAATCAGATTAATTATGCGTTAAATAAGCTAATATTCTTCAAATAAAATTTTTAAAAAGTATATTTTATTTTTGAAAGATTTTTAATAAAGAGAATTATTTTGCGATGAAAACGGGCTCAAAATGGCGCTGAAATCAGATGTTTTAGACAAAAATTAGAAAAAACTCCTTCCAGTCTTTTTAGTTAATTTAAATTAGTTTTGAAATAGTGCAAATCATTTGCATATTAAATTTAATCTATCAGCTTGGAATTAAAACTAAAATAAAAGCTTCAAGAAAGACTTTTCGTTTTTACAAATTCATTTTAAACTTCAGGTATCACGAATATATCAGTCACTTCATATCTAGCTATCTATTTATATTTGTTCATATTTACAAGGTTACGCTGCTAATTTATCGGCTCAACCATGAAGTCTGATGATTGCATGCTTAAATTTTGCACCAATTTGGTAAAATTTAATTTGCAAATTTCTTTTATTTCAGAATAACAAGTGGAGTCCAGAATGGCTCAACACCTGCCACTGCATGAGCGTGATCAGCTAGCAACACGTTACAAAGTGTCATAGTCTGTGGTACAGTTGCAGAGAAGGTGATTTTCATGGACCTCGTCCTTCAGTAGATGCCAAAACCATCAGAAATTGCCATTCCAAGCTGATGAATACAGGATCTGTGGTAAATACCGACAGAAAAACTGAAGAAAAAAATGTGCAAATCGTTGAATTTTTACATCGTAATGTACATCTACATTATACTGTTCGAAATAAAACATTACTTATCTAACTTAGTTTACATCTATTGATTTGTCTGTTTTAATCTCTTCATTATCTATCTATCTATCTATCTATCTATCTATCTATCTATCCTGTCTGTCTGTTTGTCTAGTATGTGTCTGGCACCAGATCACGTCAAAATATAATTTGTACCTAATGTGAAGTCACAAATTCAGGTGCAGGTTTAACTTGAGATAACCTCCCAGTCGCCGAGTGCACGCCCTCCTGATCGATCCAAGTGCACCTGGGTTACACGCCCTGGAAAGGGCCGCATGATAGCGATAGATATTTAAACAGCTACTGCGGAAGCAGGAGTATCTCTTGCATCCACTCGAGAAAAAAAATGATTCCTAAAGACGCACGCCAACGACCCGACATTTGTATGTGTGTGTATGTGTGCGTGTGTGTGTGTGTTTCATTAAAGACGATGACAAAGGTACTGCGATTAAGCTTTTTATTTAATTTTTCTTGTGTTCGAACAAGTGTTTTCTTTTCTGGGCACAGATTGTGTAGAAACTGGCCAAATGTTCTGTAATTCCGAGCGCTTTCGGCTATACATTTACCCATTATTAACGATGTTTTTAGTTTTATTTTTAATTTGGTGTATGGGTTGGGTGTATGTTTCTAGAGTTGTAGGGTTGTTTTATTTTCCAAACACAGTATATTGTGGATGTGTTCGTAGATTATTATAACGTATTATTGAGCGTTGGCTTTTTTATTATTAAGGCTCCATTATTTTTAATCATTTTTTTACATGTGGATGACGCCGTTATGCTTGTATTTTCTACTGGGATATTCCGGATGGAGTCTGGTAAATTTTTGTGTGTTTAAATGGATTCTGATTGAGCTTCTGTCGGATAGATGTAACCTAAGTCATCTGGATATGCATGGATTAATGTGACCGATGTAATTATTTATGAGTTCGGTTTGATCAGAAACACATTCCTTAAGGAGCAATTGGACTCTTAAATAATTTTCGTTCTATGTAGTTTTATTTTGAAGGTGTTTTGTTATTTTGAGGGATAAGGGTAGCTGTTTTAAATTTTTGGGAGTCGATAATTAAACATTTGTTTGTGCCAACTGTGTTAGGGAAAGTGTTGTGGTAGGATCCACCTAATTTGCATAGTGGAGTACCAACCATATAAATATGGTTGGTACCTGGAAGAGAGGGTGGAATCAAGAGATTCAACCAGAGACTCTGCCCGACTGCGAATCAGTCAACACATTCTCCAGGAACGGTCTTACCAGGCATATACAAAAGACTATATGTAAATATTGTGTACACTTTCTTGTTTCAATACATTTTGTTCTAAGTACATTTTGTGTTGCATTATTATTCCATGCATTAGTCAAGTTTCAACAGAATGAAATACACTTAATAAAAGAGATTGATGCCTACATACAATATATATATATATATATATATATATATATATATATATATATATATATATATAGAGAAAGAGAGAGAGAGAAAATAGATATAAGTAGTACGCAATAAAATACAAAATTATGTCATATGAGGTAATTTTGGATTTTATTGTATACTATTATTTATTTGTTCAGTAATATTAAATACATTGAGCTCTTTTTGTGGATCAGTTTTAATATTTTATATTACTAGGATCCAATTTATTTAACGCATTTATTACCTTTACTTAAACAACAGCCACCTGCTTTAATGCAAAGCTCTTCAGTAAGATGAATACAGCACTCCGGCTTATTGGCATTTGCTTACATTCGTAAAAACAATACGCTAAATTTAGCTGTTTCACTCTGCCGAGTGAAGATAGCTCAGTGGTAGAAGCTCTGACTGACACCAAATGAGTTTCCATCTTGGCATTCGGATGTCTAGTCACACTGAGGAGCTGTGTTACAGTGAAACAGTACTGTCTGTGAATGACATTATATATATATATATATATATATATATATATATATATATATATATATATATATATATATAAAAAAAAATGAGAGATATGAAGGACAGAATTAAAACGTGTTTTACTTCGAACTTAAATAAAGCAATAGGCAATTTATATTTGAATATATATTGAGGACGAGAAAATAGTTCATACATGTTTTAACAAAAGAAATTTCGTTGATCCATCAAACACACATTCAGATATGTGTGTGCCTGTAATGCCTTACTTTGTGTATGAGAGTGTGTTAAAGGTGTGTGTGTTGCGCAGTCGAGAAATTTCAATAAAGAAAATACACGTAATACACGCTGATTAAAATAAAAAACTGGGCATCTACTTCAAACACGAGCTAACAATACGTTTGAAGTATTATACATCTAATACATAGAGATAGATGAATGAATGAATATGAACAGAATGATATAAATAGATAGATAGATAGATGAATGAATGAATGAATATGAACAGAATGATATAAATGAATGAATGAATATGATATGAACAGAATGATATAAATAGATAGATGAATATGAACAGAATGAGATAGATAGATGAACAGATAGATGAATATGAACAGAATTAGATATGAATGGATAGATAATGAATAGATAGATGAATAGATAGATAATGATACAGAGAATGAATAGATAGATAGATAGATAGATGAATGAATGAATAGATAGATGAATAGATATGAACAGAATGAGATAGATGAATAGATAGATGAATGAATGGAATGAATATGAGAATTGAATATATTGAATGAATGAATGAATGAATATGAACAGAATGAGATAGATAGATGAATAGATAGATGAATGAATATGAACAGAATAGGATAGATAGATAGATGATATGATAGATAGATAGATAGATGAATAGTGAACAAATTAGATAGATAGATGTATATGTGTGTGAATGAGATGGATAGATAGATAGATAGATAGATAGATAGATGGATGTGAGAATTAGATGGATAGATAGATAGATGAATGTGAACAGAATGAGGATAGATAGATGGATAGATAGATAGATAGATAGATAGATAGATAGATAATGATTGGAGAATTCGATGGATGGATAGATAGATAGATAGATATAGATAGATAGATATATATATTTGAACAGAATGGATAGATAGATGGATAGATGTATAGATAGATGAATATGAACAAATCAGATAGATAGATAGATAGATAGATAGATAGATAGATAGATAGATAGATGAATATGAACAGAATGATATAGATAGATAGATATGGTGGACTCTCCTGTCGTTTTCGACGTATGAGGGTGAAGCAACTCAGTTCCTCTGAACCGACAGCCAAAACACCTACACATGATTTGATTATAGTAGTGAAAGCTTTGTGCAGAACCAACCACACATTTTGAAGAGCCGAATACAGAGACCTCGTTCACTATGTGCCACAAAGTCCCCAAACGACTCTCTGCAGGTTTTTAATTCAGAGTTGTCCTCCTTCTCGAGCAGTTGCCATCCAAGGTTATAGAACCCAGTCTGTCCTGCTACTTACCCATAGCTGCAGGGAGAAGAGGATTAATACCTTACCTAAGGGAGTTAGCACGTAAGTGAATGTAATGGATTCGACCGGAATATATAAATATTTCTATATTTAAGAAAAGGCTAAAATGCCAACCAAGTTCGAAATCCGGGTTTCGGCCGTATGGTCTCCGCAAGTGAAAGGATATAAAAGACAAAGAAGATGACTCCATTATGCCCGTAAAAAAATTGTAAGTTAGAAAAAGAGAGGGAAGGTACTCGTCCGTACCTTTTAGGCCTGGCTATTTTCAGTCTTCCTTTTTCCATTACGTTACACCTATCTGATCACAGCTCCATTAGAACCCATTTAAACACACACACAAATTTACCAGACTCCATTAGGAACATACTAGTAGAAAACACAAATATATTAACTGCATCCACCTGCAAAAAAACTAAAAATAATGGAACACTTTAATAAAAAAAAACAAAAGCCAACTCTTAACAATATTGACTACATAGAACAAAGCCTCAATGTGTTAACCGTATTCTGAAATTAAAAACATCCTTACCACACACTAAGACATACACATAACGCACACACTCAATTAAACTGAAAAATCGAATCATCCTTGATAATGGCTAAAGGTATAGCCGAAAGCGCTCGGAAGTATAAACATGTGGACAGTTCTTACACACCCTTTGTCCAGAAAAAAAAAAGCTCTTGTTCGAACACAAGAAAAATTAAATAAAAGCTTAACCGTAATACCTTGTCTATCGTTTTAAAATGAAACATGTATAAAAGAAGGATTGCTACCTAAATATACAACTATATATATATATATGTGTGTGTGTGTGTGTGTTTGTATTTAGGCAGCAATCCTTCTTTCATGCACATTTCATTGAATACAACATACAAGGTGCTTTTATTTAGTTTTTATACAATTTCTCATGCGATCTAATTTTTTGTCTTTTCGTTTTGGGTGATAAATTATATAAAAACTGTTCAAATGCTCGTTTTATCCGAGCGCTTTCGGCTATACATTTAGCCATTTTCAAGGATTAAATATTTTATCTGTTAAATAAGAAACAGTTTGTTGTATGGATGTTTTATAAAATGTTTTCATTTTTCAATAAATAAAAAAAGAACATTCGGACAGTTTTTATATAATTTATCTTCCGAAAAAAAAAAAATTTAGATCGCATGAGAAATTGTATAAATAACTAGATAAAAGCACCTTGGCTGTCGTATTCAATAATATATATATATATATATATATATATATATATATATATATATATATAGATAGATAGATAGATAGATAGATAATATTAGTGGTAAATATATATACATATAAAAATATAAATACCCATACATGTATATTTTCTTAATAAAATTCAAGAGGATAGAATCCAGGTAGAACTCAATGTCAGGACAGAGTAAGGATATAATAAAAGGCGTAAACACTAATATTCCATGGTCATAATTTATTCCATTGGAATCGTAAATACGATCAATTCATCAACCTTTTATTATATATATATATATATATATATATATATATATATATATATATATATTATATATGATCGAAATAAAAGTATAAAATTTAATATTACAAGACATATTAAAACAATATTAAATAATAAAAAAAAAACTCAACAACAAGGGGGGGGCAACCGATTTCGCTCCCGCTCTTCAGGCTTCCACGGGAGATTCAAAATTAAAACAGAGAAATGTACAATAAGAATAGGTGGAAAAAAAATATATACATATATATACACATATATATTTGTATATATGCAAGAAGGAACTAGAGGCAGATGACAGCGAGTCCCAGCAAGCACTCACGTTGTTTGCACAAAGAAGGCTTGCGGGACCCGATGTAAAGCGCCTCCAGAACCTTCAGATGAAATACAGTGTGTGACCGGGCCAACACGGTGAACAAGTCGACACTAAATTTGGCAGCACAATCTCTGCTATTTAAAAGATGTTCGCATATGGCGGAACTGTCTGTATATATATATATATATATATATATATATATATATATATATATATATATATATATATATATATGTGTGTGTGTGTGTGTATATATATATATGTGTGTGTGTGTGTGTGGTGTCAGTAAAAATGTACTCCCTTTTGACTTTGTCGTCAGTTTGATTATAATAAACATGCATTTAATTTCTTAATATGTAATTTAAACCGTTAATCTCCTTCATAAGTCAATAAACATAAATATTTCTTAAAATTTTTAACCAATAATCTTGTTTTGCAAGTCTATAAACACTGCATTTATTGTAATTTAAAAATTAATACATTTTTTAGATACCTGTCTGTCTATATATATATATATATATATATATATATATATATATATATATATATATTTAGCATATTTGTGTTTACATGTGTATGTCTTTGTTACTTGAAGAGAAAACTGAATACGGCCCTCGTAAATAGGAGGTAATTTAGAAGAGATATCTTAAACACTACGCGAAATAGTGTGGTTTCATTCAGGGTTCTTTGAATCTTTCCGTTCTTTGGTTGAAGGCATCTACTAGGTTCGCCATAATCTTTAGAAGACAGTCTCGGGTTTCATGAAGAGGGAATTAAAATTCTATCGCTTTGGGAAATACATGAAAATCCTTTACACATTCCTAAGCGGCTTAACGAATTTGATGTACATTTGATGAACAATGGAGATATGCAGATTGTAATGATTTAAAACGAAAGTGGATATTAATCGGAAAATTTCTTTAGTAAGTGTAGTAAGTACTTGTCAAATGCATTATATATAAACTTCTAAAAAGAAAAAGTAGTACGTATTTTTATAGTTTTATTATTAAATTTTCAGTAAATCATCAGTTAGTGACCTATATCTGGATTTTTCACTTCTTCATCGATTATCCTTTGTCGTTGATGGAGAAAATATAAGGTACTGTAGTTATAACAAGATTGGCACCGTTTTTTTTTTATAACTACCAAATCGTGTTAGTTATATCAGTATATTTAGTAATATACTATATTACTTTTGGTAGCATTACCATAAACCGTAATGAAGATATCCGTACGCATATGATTATCAAAGCCTATACATAGTTTAAGGAGTATTTTCGTTATATATTTATTATAAAGATTTGCGCACATCACCAAAGTGATATATAAAATGGCTATTTTTGTAGTGATGTTATAACATACATATATTATAATTTTTAAATAAATATTATTCGCTCTACTCTAGTATTGAGCACTTTTTTAAAAATAGTGTTTTTTGTTACTGGAAGTTTATTCCATCTTCACCAATCTTGTATTTCTCTCTCTCTCTCTCTCTCTCTCTCTATATATATATATATATATATATATATATATATATATATATATATATATATATATATATGTTATTTTTTTGGAGTGCATATTTGAATTAAACAACCTGTTTTCAAACATTGGTGTTCAAGAAAATAAGAAAAATATCGGATACATTCATTTCTAATATGTAAATAACAAAGAACGCTCAATATATATATATAAAAATTATTTTCATTAAGACGGATTATATATAAGGGTGTTTCATTAAGACGGATCAAAGTCAACTGTAACTAAACAAAATGAACACAAAAAACGATAAGCTTTAAAAAAAACCACTCGTAACTTGAAAAAAGAATGTTAACAACAAATACTTTTCTTACCCAACCCAGTTCTGCGGAATCGGAATCAACGTTGAGTTTAAGCAAAGCAGAATGAACCAATTAGAGTAAAGTGCCATACAGATTTAAATTTTTCCTACTTGTGACGAATGCAGCTATCGATTTTTTTTTTTGCATGCTAGTTAACATTCGTGTCAGTCAGCTGTTGGCTCTCACGCTGGCCAATAGAATCTTCCTGCCTATTCGTGGCAGCCAGCTATATAGGCTCTCACTCTGGCCAGTAGAAAATGGCCGCAAACTACATGAAAACTGCTGTAGAAGCATTAAATAATCGATTATTTCCACTGTATCAGTGTTACTGGTGAAAATTTATTTATTTCTCTATTCGATCTTGTTATTTATGTCATGGCAATTATGTGTGAAAAATAATATCGCCCAAATGTCTGCCAAATCTGAAAGAAAAAGAAAAAATTTAGACGCTTAAACTTAATTCACATTTAAAAGCGGTCCACGTTATTGGAACACCCTTTACATATATATACATATATATGTGTGTGTGTGTGTGTGTGTGTGTGTGTGTGTGTGCGTGTGTGCGTGTGTGTGTGAAGCTTTCTTTCTGTTAACGCATTTACATCCCTTTCCAGTGTTCTATATTTCTTTCCAATGTCTATCAAATCAATGCATTATTGTGTCCACGGTTCGAAAAAATTGTCATTTGTTTATTAATTCACTTGGAATTCAATGTTTTTTGTTTTGTTTCTTTTTCCATTATTTTTTCCGTCAAAAGGTAAATTGCAATTTCATTAATAATTTAATAAAAAGGAACAGGAATCAGATTATTTCGAACTGACAACAGGCTGACCAATTCATTTTTTAAAAACGTGAAAAGAAATATAGAAGTTCCCTTCTATCCGAAAGAAACAAACAAACGCACATTTTGAAAATCGCACTGCATGAAACATATTGTTACCATATAGATAAATTTTAAAATATTTCTTTTTATGCGTGTAAAAAAATTGCCTAATATAATTAGATAATTCATAAAAGCTCTATTTTAAATACTTCTAAAAAAGTATTTAAAATAAAGTTTTTATGAATTGTCAAAGAAACATCATATATATATATATATATATATATATATATATATATATATATATATATATATATAATTGTTTTTTAAATTATT